GGGGGCTGCTCTCTGGCCACTAGAGCCAGGCAGTCATCCAGCTGCGGTTACACTGCATACGTGTCTGACTACTCATTTCATCGTCAGTCAGCCAGGGTCTGCGGGACAGACCCGGCAGCCCAGGAGATCCTGCTAGGTGAGCATATCCAGGGCCGAGTCACAGACCATTTGGAAAAAACTGGAAAGAGGTGAGCACAGGCACTGCCATATTGAGCCCCCTGAATTCAGGCCAGAATGGGACCACGCCATCTGGAAAATGGCATGGAGAGAGCAAGCAGCCTGCTGGCTCTGCCTCTGATTAGCAGTGGATAAGTGACCTAACCCTCTCTGAACCTCAGTTTCCTCATCTATAAAATGGAATAAAAAAGAATAGTATTTACTTCCCAAGATTGTTTTAAGGATTCATTCAGGGCGGGGCCCACAAATTAGCTGGGCATGGTGGTGGGGCGCCTGCAATCCCAGCTACTCAGGAGGCTGAGGCAGGAGAATAGCTTAAACCCCAGGAGGCAGAGGCTGCAATAAGCCGGGTTTGCGCCACTGCATTCCAGCCTGGGAGACAGAGAGAGACTCTGTCTTTAAAAAAAAAAAAAAAAAAAAAATCTCTGCCCTGCTTCTGCCTAGGAACTAAAAGGCCTGTATTTGAGACCATCACTACATCACTAACTGGTTGCAATCTCAAACCAGTCCTTTCTCTCTTACCTCAGATTCCTTCTTTAAACAAGGAGGGTAGATGCCACCACAGCTGAGCCGCTGAGGGTTCTCCCAGCTAAAGCTGAGATTTTTGTGATTCTAAACAATCGCCTCCCTACACTGAGTTAGAAGGAAGGCCTGCTGGGCCTCTAAACCAAACGCCCCCAGGTCTCTCGCCTAGGCACACAGGACAGCACTGCCCCAGGCTGTGCAGTGCCTGGCTGGCCTCCCTTCACGAGTGATGCCCGTCTGCCCAGTTTTCTAGCCCGGGAGGGAGCCTGGGCCTCAGCCCACGCCATTCTCTGGGACCTAACTCTACTCCGTGATTTGGGGAAAAAAGCCAACCAATGGACTCAATTAGGAGCCTCCAAACCGTCAAGGCTTCCCCATGGGTTACCATTTAGACCAGAGCTTCTCAAGCTGAATTTAAGAAAAAAAGTTTAATCTGCTGCTAACTTATGCTTTTTGTAAAATTTTAAAAATATATACTATGTAATACCAGTAGTTACACAATATTGTGAAAGCACTTCTAAATTGTATGCTCAAAAATGGCTAAAATGGTACATTTATGTTATCTATATTTTACTACAATAATTTGTTTAAATAGAAAAAAATGAAAAAGGTGAAATTCTAGCCTCAGCTTCATTTTAATAGCATTCGACAAGACCTTGTAAAATTGTCATAAAAGTTTCTAAATGCTTACTTTCAATTTCTGTACTTATCTCGCTGCAGACCAGTAAAAATTTGTGTGCTGGCAGCAATCCCCGAGCCACACTTTGATAGTTCGGATCCAACTTGCTAAGAGGGACTCTGGCTTTGCAGGGCTTCTCAGGAGATCTTCCAAGAGCACAAGGTTCCTGCACCGTGACTCCCTCCAACAGGCATTTCTGGACACCAAGCTGGTCAACCCCAAGCAGCCCAGGGCAGGTACACTGGTCTGATGTATGGCTGACACCTCCTTATGCCCCAGCTGTCCCCTAGGGACTTCTTGATGTGCACTGGTTTTTATTTTTTTTTTTGAGACAGTCTCGTTCTTGTTGCCCAGGCTGGAGGGCAATGGTGTGAACTTGGCTCACTGCAACCTCCGCCTCCCGGATTCAAGCAATTCTCCTGCCTCAGCCTCCCAAGTAGCTGGGATTACAGGCACCCACCACCACGCCTGGCTAATTTTTGTATTTTTAGATGAGATGGGGTTAGACCAGTTTGGCCAGGCTGGTCTCAAACTCCTGACCTCAGGTGATCCACCCACCTCGGCCTCCCAAAGTGCTGGGATGACAGGTGTGAGCCACCGTGCCTGGCCAATGTGTACTGTTATTAAAGTGTCCCTGTCAGTGGCCAGGAGAATGGTGGTGCCCTTGATAACCACAGGGAGTCATGGGGTACAGCGTGGGGTAGGGTAGCTTGGGTTTGGGAGGTAAATAGAGAGGCGCCTTCTTTGCTTCTACTCCCTAAATCAAACTTGGCCCAAGCATTATCTCCTACAGGAAGTCACCCTGGGCCTACATCCTGAGGAGCCCCTATCTGTGTCCCACAGCAGAGCACAGGTCTCCCTGTATTTGTATTGATTAGGTGACATGGTAAATTAGGAAGTGGTGCCTGCTCCTGGGAAGATGAGGGAATGTAATATGTGCCTTGGTTGTGGCGTATGACTGGATTTCAGGCCCCACATCTCCTCAGCGGGATCCCCTGTGCAGGGTACGGTCTGCACACTATGAGCAGGGGCTGTGACGAGTGCAGCTGCAGGCTCATCTCCACCAGGCTGTCTGGTACTGGAGAGATGGCAATGGTGTTTAGATGTTGCATCCTGAGTAGAGAGGTCTCTGCCTAGGTGAGCAACAGAAACGTTGCTGGCTTAAAAAAAAAAAAAAAAAAATCTAGGCCAGACACGGTGGCTCACGCCTGTAATCCCAGCAGTCTGGAAGGTTGACGCTGGTGGATTGCTTGAGCTCAGGAGTTGGAGACCAGCCTGGGCAACATGGTGAAATCTCATCTCTACAAAAATTACAAATATTAGCCAGCCATGGTGGCACACACCTATAGTCCAAGCTACTCTGGAAACAGGTTGGAGGATTGCTTGAGCCAAGGAGGCTGAGGCTGCAGTGAGCTGACTTTGCACCACTGCACTCCGGCCTGGGTGACAGAGACCCTGTCTGAAAAAAAATTCTAGACACTGGGGCTCCAATTTTATTTTTTTATTTACTTTTAAATTATTTAGAGACAGTCTTGCTATGTCTCCTAATAAGGCTGGTCTCCAACTCCTGGGCTCAAGTGATCCTCCCACCTTGGCCTCCCAAAGTGCTGGGATTACAGGTGTGAGCCAACACACCCAGCCACAGGCTGGCTCCAATTTTAGAAATTCTGCCTCCAAAGGTCTGATGAGGGTCCTGAGTTTCATATTTTGAAAAAGTACCATGGAATCCCGATACCCAGCTGGTGTCTGGCCCATAGAGGTGCCAGCAAGTGTTTGTTGACTGGGCTTAGAGGTGCAGCACATCTCTGACACGGGAGACAGCTAGGTGACCTGGGAAGGAGGGAGATTCACTCTTATTATACATCTTTTTTTTTTTTTTTTTTTTTTTGAGATGGAGTTTTGCTCTTGTTGCCCAGGCTGGAGTGCGGTGGCGTGATCTATGCTCACTGAAATCTCTGCCTCCCGGGGTCACACCATTCTCCTGCCTCAGCCTCCCGAGTAGCTGGGACTACAGGCGCCCGCCCCACGCCCGGCTAATTTTGTTTTTGTATTCTTAGTAGAGACGAAGTTTCACCATGTTAGCCAGGATGGTCTCGATCTCCTGACCTCATGATCCGCCCGCCTTGGCCTCCCAAAGTGCTGGGATTACAGGCTATTATACATCCTTTTGTACTGATTGGACTTTTGATCTAAAAAAAAGTTTGGCTGACTTGGAGTGATGGAGTTGCTGTTCTGTGTCAGGGACTACAAACCCTGGGCCTCCAGCAGGCACAGGGCCCATCCAGCAAAAGACAGAAATGGGTGGGCCCAAGTGGGATGGAGAGCTGCAGAACACAAGTCCTACCTCGAGGGGGCAGCAAGTGCCCAGAGTCCGCTGACGGCAGCTGGGAGGGACTGCGAGCCCAGGGTTGCCAGATCTGTCGGCTTTTTTCAAGATAAGCTTGAAATCAGATTTTCACATGGAATTGTCAGGTAATTCAATTTAAAACACAGCATGCACTGAATGCAACATGCCTATGATTCAACATTGGCTGCAGGCCACCAGTTTGTGTGTTCGGATCCAGGAGGATTCCATTAAGGATTGTGCACCTCAGAGCCATCTGTAAAGAAGGTGAAGACCCATCATTTGCTTCTAGAAAACAGGGTTGACTCCACATGGGGTCCGCAAAAGATGAGGACAAAGCCAGTGCCCCAAAGCAGACTGTGGGAGTCACCCACCCACTCATCATTATTTAATCCAGCACATTAACCTCCCACCACGAGCCAGGAGATCCAGTGGTGAATGTGACAGGCAGAACCCCTGCTCTCAGGGACCCTATGTTCTAGCTGGGGAGACACTTGAATTAATGAGTAACACTTGTGATACATGAGGAGCTGCCGTACAGCATGGGGGTTAATAGTCTGGGTTTCAGTCCTGAGTCCACTGCTTGCTAGTTGTGAATTTAGGCAAATCCTCTAATCTAGGTCCAGTTGCCTTACTTCTTGCCTGTGGAATGACCATGATAACCTCCTAAGGTTGTTCTGGGGATTCACTGAGACAATGCAAATAATTATTAGTTGCTGCTATTAAGTAGAGAGCTGTGAGAGCAGGGAAGAGGGGAGCCTAGGGCTTAGCATGGGGACCTCCCCATTCCAGTGAATACTGGGGCTTTTTGCCAGTGAGGGGAGCAGGAAGCCACAGGGGTTGGAAGCTCCAGGCCCAGCAGAGGCTCAGTCCTCTTCTGCTGAGATGGCTGCAATGAGGCAGCTGGCTCATTTCCTGTCTGTTTCTTCTTCCTGTGGATCCAATTTCAGCAGCCTACTTGTCTCAGTAGGATTTGGTGTCCAAGGACTGGGAAGGTACTGCTCTGCTCTTGGCCATGAAGGAAGAAGGCCAGGCCTTTCCAGCTATGAACCAGAGCCCCTCCACGAAGCTGCTGCATTTTGAAGCTCATCAAACCCAACAACTAAGTTTTAAAAATCTAAGTGCATGTAAGAAACAAGTCAGAATCCCTTTCCTATACCCTTAAGTACAGAATACCAGCTTCTGCTGGCAGAGGCCGCAGCCACAGGGACATTTTGGACCTTTCTTTCACCTGGGCAAAAAGGGAAGAGGCAAGTATCAAGAGACTTGACTCACCAACAATGTGTCTGGGGACTTGGAGTTCGGCTCTGTGTTTATGACATGGTCTCTGATCTCAGGTGGTCTGCAATCCAACCCTGTAGAGAATCACAGTCTTGGATTTGGAAGGGAACTTCTAGGGCATCTAGTCCAACTTTCACCCAAAGGGGGAAGCTTTTCTATAAGAAACTTGGCCTTGCTGGGTGCGGTGGCTCACGCCTATAATCTCAGCACTTTGGGAGGCCGAGGCAGGCAGATGACGAGGTCAAGAGTGCAAGACCAGCCTGGCCAACATGATCTCTACTAAGAATACAAAAATTAGCCCGGCATGGTGGTGCATGCCTGTAATCCCAGCTACTTGGGAGGCTGAGGCAGGAGAATTGCCTGGGAGGAGGCAGGTTGCAGTGAGCCAAGATCGTGCCACTGCACTCCAGCCTGGGCAACAGAGCAAGACTCTGTCTCAGGGAAAAAAAAAAAAGAAACTTGGTCTTCATCTTCTGTATTCCTAAATGAACCACATTTAACAGTGATTCAAACAAACGAATTCACAGTAAGGTAGCCAAACTCATCTGGGTGCCCAGTTTTACTGGGAGAGCTAAAACATCGCTGAAAATCAGAATTCTCCACTGGGAGAGTGATACAGAGTAGACAGGAGCACCTTTATAAAAGTGCTGGGGGCGGGGGATGACACCTCACTCCAAGGCATGCAAGGATAACAAGAGGCCCTGCCTTTTTAAGGAGGTGGGACCAGCTGAACATAGGACTTTCATTTGCTCACTGAATCTTGTGAACAGGTCTGAGGCAGAGGGGAATTGTTCCAGGCGATGAGGGGACGCTGAGCTGTCAGAGCAGCCCCCCTCCCTGTGCAGGGCCTAGAGCAGGACTGCCTGGGTAAGCTGCTCCTATTAGCTTAGGACCTTGGGTACGTTACATTGCCTGTTCACTTCTCTGTATGGTGGAGACAATGAACACGATGCCTGGACGTCAAGTGCTCAGTAAATAGTGGCACTGCCATTTTCCCAAGTGGAGTGGTTTGTTTCTTTTCCAGCTTCCCAAGTTTAGAGCACATGTCCCAGTTCTTCAGTGCAGTCAGTCACATGGATTGCTTCAGAGCCCAGCAGGCCCTCCCACCTCATCCCTGTGCTGCCCCAACAGCCACGATGACCACTGTAGCCTGTATGGCAGCCATTCTCCAGTCAACTCACCCTGCCTCCACTTTCTCTTCCTTAAAATGGCTTTGTTACTAACCACTGCAGTCCCCATGTTCAAAAGCCTTCAAAGAGCCTCCACTGCTTAGAATAAAGAAATGGGGAGGGGGCCTGCCTGGAGGGCCTACTACAGGCCATTAACTATGGCAGGGTCTCTGTGCATGCTATAATCACAGGCTTACTAGGTGTTTAACAATTAAGTGCTTTATTGGGGTTTGGCTTGGAAGGGTCATCTGACTTCCCAAAGGACAAGCTCAAGTGCTTTCTCCTCTCAAAGCTTCCCAGACCACAAAGCCCTCTGTGATCACTCCTTTTACCAAAGCACTAGAGCACCCTGGTGAGTACAAGTATGTAGTCGAGAGCCTCACCCTCAGGTAAGTAAGCGTTCTACAGCTCTCCTTCCCCTCACATGGACACATGATGTGCTGGCCCCATCCCATTTTTTCTCCATCCCTAGCACACAGGCCAGAGTGGAGCACAATCTAGGTGCTTGTCAAATGTTAACTTAAGGGCCTCCTTCACGTCCTTCAAACCTCTCTCCACTGAGCCCAGTCAATCATAAGGCTCAAGTACAAAATCCTCAGGAAGCGACAAGCCTCATCTTCCATTCAAGACAAAAGGAACGGAGTGTGCACCTTGGTGACAGCCTCGACTGCTTGTCAAACCACTCTGGCCTTATTAGGCCAACCTATTGGAAGTGCTGCCGGGAGAGGCTGGCCCCACTGGGACAGACGCAGACTCCCATGATGGCACAGAGAACGCTGGGCCCGGGAAAGCATGCCAAGAGATACTTCCCAGAAGCTCGTAGGTGCCACCGCTCCTTTGCTTCACTCCAAGCCAGATACAAAGAATGTGGGAGTAACAGTTACTTAGCTGATGTCCCCCAACTGTCTCATTTTATCCAGGAGAAAATGGGGGTCCAGGACTAAGTGCTTCTCCAAAGGTCAAGGTGAAATAGAAAAGCCAGAGCTTCTATTTCTGTGGTAAGATACATCCCCTTCAGTTTCCTGTGACTTAAGCCTGTCACAAGGCAGGGGCTCAGGATCACCCTCGGATAGAAGTCAGGGCCACTGTGGGATTGGTGGCAACTGACGGAGCATCCTTTCAGATCTATGTTGATCTTTCCCTTGCTTTCTCCTGAGGCCAGTTTCCCTCCCTAAATGTCCTAGATGAACAAAAGCTTACTGCCACTTGTAGGACACCTTGTATCATTATGCCAAGTTTCTACACTCAGGCCCTCTTTGTATTCCCATCTACTCAGAACTGGCATTTTAAAGATCCCAGGGCACCTACTATGTGCCAGAGACAGGAGCCAAGGTGAACTGTGCTGCACCACTGCACACAAGCCTCATCCTGTCCTCTTGCTTTAGATATTGCTCGGAACCTATTGTTGTATTCAACTACACTTGTACTTGTTCCTATTTGCCCTACATGGGCATAACTCTTAAAACCAAGCTTTGTTCAGAATTCCTCTGATTGATCATTTAAGTAAATTTAAAAGTCAATTCAAGGAATACAAAAACTGCATAATAATTTCCAACTCAAGAGTATAAACTTAGATCACTCACTAGCCTCTGGTTGAAAACAGTAATCGTGATTTATATGGAATGCTAAATACCTATGTTCTAAGTGTGCTCTCTTGCCACAAACCCATTTAATCCTAACAATCTTAGGTAAGTTGAGGTAGGCTGTTGTTCTCATAAATAAGTTTGGTAAAACCCCAATCTCAAGATACAGCCCAAGCCACAGAGGCACATGCGTTAGCAACACGTGGACCCCACCACAGTATTAGCAATCATCTTTTGCTGTAAGTGCTTGGCTTCCAAGAGCTTTTATACAGATGTCTAAAAGCCACAAAATATACATAATTAGGCTATTTCCCAAATAGCACAGGAAAGCTGCCAAAGGCGTTCCCTGAATTGAGAGGCAATGCACTGACAATGGGGACTATTACAGCCTCTGGATACGTGATGACGTATCTGTCAAATGCTACTCTAGAAATAATTAAGGTTCCCTTTAGTCATTTCACAGGAGTTGCTACAGCAGCACATAAAGTTTTATTAATATTCTGATTCTCGCGTCGCCGTTTTTATGGCAGGAAAGGATGAGGACATGCCCCACCTGTAATGTAGAGCAAGCAAACCACCAAGTAGGACCTGAGATTCTCTCTAAACTGTTCTCTAGTAACACGCTTGTGCCTTTAATCTGCCTTTTAAAAGGGACACAAAACAAAAAATGCTTGTTTGCAAATAAACATCTGAAAGAATATAGTAACAGCTGATCTGGGCTGAGGCATCCAAACAAAGCGGCCATTGTGGAGGTAGACAATGCAAACCACACTGGGGCAAGAAACTGAGGGCAGAGAACGTGCGGTCATTTGTGCCTTGGTATTTCTACCAGCCCAAGGCCCCATCTGGAACAAGTATCAACCAGGAGGGTCTCTATGGCTTGATTTATTAACCTAACTCGAAAGAAGTCACTGCCACCAACAGCACTGTGCAGTTTTATTAACCATTCAAGTCCAGTAGCATCTGGTAAGATTGGGACAGAATTGGGATTGAAAAGTGAACAGATATTCAGCATCTAACAGTTCAAAAGAAGCCACTACATACTCTTTTCACAAATATGTTTTCACAGAGCCAATACAGTACTAGCCATTAACCCAGTACACCAAGTGTACCGAAGTAGAAAAGATGCAACAAGAAAAATAGCTACATTAGAAAGACCAACACTTTAGAAAAAGAGTAAAACACTTTTAGTTTCTCCCCTTTAGCCCCTAAAACAACATCTTACAGTCTGAATCTACCTATACAGTCCTACATTAGCTTCTAAAATATTTGTCAGGAGGGAAAAAATAAAATGACACTGGCCAGTACAGTCTTTGGATATTTAGGAAGGGGATGGGGAGAAAGTCAGTTGTCAGAGCAAATTAGTCAGCTTCAGTCTCGTCAGCAGGGTCTTTGGATTCTTTGTTCTTCCGCACTTCTTCAATGTGCTTATCCTGCAAAGGAAGGGTAAGGTGTCATCAGTCAAAAAAAAAAAAAGCCTGTCAAGTCACGACCCCCAGCCCCCACCTCAAAGAGGCCCAACACAACCTCGGTGCATATATTACAGCCTGTGGGAACCACAAAATTTGAGTTCTGAGACATCATCGAATCTCCTGGGTCCCTTGTAGAACCTAACAAGCCGCATACTGGTCTTCGAAGGACTGTGCAATTATGCTGGGAATTACTGAATATTCCATCTTAAAATATACCTTTCATTTAACATGTTAAGCCCCAAATGGATGACAAAAAGACACCAAATACCTTTTATCAAAGCACTTAGTTCAAGCCAACTAATTGGTGCATGAAACTCCAGGCTCAACCCTTTTACAAGGTAAGAAACCAACCTTCTCTCGCAAACGCTCCAGTTTGGCAGCCATTTGTGCCTCTCGGTTCTCTTTGTTAGCTTCCATTTTGTGGGTCAGTTTCTCTTCTGCCATTTTACTGAAGTTGTTGTTCTCTTCTATTGCCTTCTGAAGCACTTCTTTCTCGTGCTCTCGTTTCTCAGCCAGCTGCTTTAAGACCTCAGCTTCATGCGACTGGAAAAAAAAGTTTAATAGGCTAGGCACTTTGAAATGTATTCAGGCTGGGGGTGGTGGCTCACGCCTGTAATCCCAGCACTTTGGGAGGCCAAGGTGGGTGGATCATTTGAGGTCAGGAGTTCAAGACCAGCTTGGCCAACATGGTGAAACCCTACCTATACTAAAAATACAAAAATTAGCCAGGCGTGGTGGCGGGCACCTGTAGTATCCAAGCTACTTGGGAGGCTAAGGCAGGAGAATTGCTTGAACCCAGGAGGTGGAGGTTGCAGTGAGCCCAGATCGCGCCACTGCACTCCACCCTGGGTGACAGACTCTGCCTCAAAAAATAAAATGTATTCAGCATTAGTTAAAATTACAATAAAAATCAATTACTAAGGGGACTGAAAAGGGGCAGAAAATAAGGTCCGGTTTAAATAATACCGAAGTTAGGACCTGAATTATCCCTATCATACTGTAAAAATGGTATTTTTTCTAGTATTTGTATTTAACTTTGGAAAACTGCTTATCTGTTCAGAAATCTCTTACCCAATTAGTCCTTAAGGAAATCCTTGTAAGATTTACTGCTTAATGGTATCTGGATGACTTAAGGAATATGTACTTGGGAGTGGCACTTTTATTGTAAAGAATTTCACTATTTAACTTCAAAAGTTACCCAAAGAAAACTAGCTCATTGTAAAAATTTTAACCATAACTGGATAAAACAATGATAGGAAATGTAAGACTAAGCCTGCAGATTACTATTTAAGACAGAAAAATTTGTTTCAAGGAAAAGTCTTCTTAGCTTTTGTCTCAGGAAACTGCATTAATTACCAGACCATACCTTGGTATGACCCCTTCAACAGAACAGCTTGTTCTCAAAACACATTCAGATGTGTTTGGAACCACTGACTTGCAGGATAACCACAGAGCATCTGCCACTGGTTCTATTGATTCTCTTCTGCCAAATCCTAGTCATGATGGGAGTTTCACTATATTTAGCCAGTTACTATGTAAAGCACAGGCTAATGACTACAGGGCCAGGGTTGATGTCTAAAAAACTTTCCACTGTCCAACCTTTGGTTGTATTGCTTCCTCCTACTCCATGAACTCACACTCTTACATAGAAGCATAGAAGATGACTCTTAGTGTAAGCACTGTGGCTCTTTGGGCGGGTGTGTATGTGTCCTACAAATCACACTATGCTGGTCTGGGGAAGGTTATTACCCTTACCTTTTGTGCCTTACTTGCCCCAACTTTAAAATCAATCCAATCAGGGTTGGGAAAGGGAGTTAAATGAAAAGTTATGTACAGTTGTTAATGAGTAACACCGAATGGAAAGAAACACACCAAAATGTTAACACTGGTTGCTTCTGGGAAGTGGGATAATGAATACTTTTAATTTCCATTTATAAATTTCTGTATTTTCCAAATTTTCTACAACTAGCATATTTATTGATTCTTCAAATTAGCTTTTAATGATAGTTACTTTATAATAGAATTGCTTAGATAAGAAAAGCTACCATGATACCAGCTGAGCAACACAATCACACTAGCAATTTAAAATGTTTTTATTGTACAGCTCTCAAAAAACAAAACCAAAGTGCCAAAGAATCATCTGGCAACATATCTTTTCAAAGAGGAAGCATGAGCTTCGATTTAAGACAGACCAGGGCTTGAATTCTGACCCCAACACTTACTAGTTGTATGACTGCAGAAAAACGACTTAACATTCCTGAAACCGTTTCTAATTTCCATTATTTGAGGCAACACCATGTATTAAAGGAGAAAAATATAAACAAAGGAGCTGGCACATAACAGGAGTTCAATAAGTGAGGACTGGTATTTCCTTCCAATCACTGGCATATGTAATAATCACAGTGTAGCTACAATTCTGTTTTCTTCTTGTTAATAGAAATAAAACTGATCTGCCCATTACACAAATTAATATCCTGCTTTCTGTGAATTGCTTCGTTTACCTTGCGTCTTTCTTCTGCAGCTTCTAATTTCTTCTGAATTTCCTCCAGAGAAAGATCCTTCTTCTTTGGAGGGGAAAGGGGGAATTCTGGAACAGATTCTTTTGACCGAGGGCTGAGAATCAGCTCAAAAGCCTGGCCTGAGGCACGCTTCTCCAGTTCTTTCACCTGGATATCTAGAATTGATTATATTTATAATTCAGAAAACCAGGATTCTCCTATTCTAATAAACAGTACTATAATTTTCTAAAACCCAAATCAATTTAATGTATTAAATTAGGGCTGATGAGGAAAGTTGTGGTTTTTTCCCCTTTTTATTCCTACCAGCCTACCGACACTAGAGGAAGATGTGTTTGCAGCAAGATATTATCTAAACACCATTTCCCAAGGCCAGGTACCATGGCTAATGCCTATAATCCCAGCACTTTGAGAGGCCAACATAGGAAGATCCCTTGAGCCCTGAAGTTTGAGACCAGCCTTGGCAACAAAGGGAAAGCCCATCTCTACAAAAAAAAATTTTTTTTAATTAGGTGGGTGTGGTAGCCCATGCCGATAGTCCCAGATGCTATGGAGGCTAAGGTGGGAGAATCGCTTGAGCCCACTTGAGCTCCAGAGGTCAAGGCTGCAGTGAGCTATAATTAAGCTACTGCACTCCAGCCTGGGCAACAGAGTGAGACCCTGTCTCAAAAAAAATAAAAAAAAAAAAACATCTCCCAGAAAAACAAAGCTCAACATTTTTGGATTAATAAATACTGTTTTGAGACATCAGTGTCTGACAATCGCTTTCATAAACAAAAGACTTGTGCAAACTCCACAATTTTGCTTCAGACTAAGCCAAACTGTCTAATAAACAATTATGAGCTCTTGGCACATTCAAGTGATAATCATTTTTTAATTCTCCTATTCATAAAATAGGTTTTGGATATGACCATAAGTGCCAAATCAAAGGTGAAGACCTGAGCCACCTCAATCTAAAATCATAAGCCCATCACAATTTCAGCTTTTCCAAATAGGTTACCTACCAGAAGAAGCCATGGTGAATAGAAGACAAGCGACAGGCAGTGTATTCTGCACAATCAACTGGGATAAGGAAAGCCCTGAAAATGATTTTCAAAAACATGCAATCACTTTCTTTGCCTTTCTGTATGTCATCAACCAAAAGAGATCTCACACCACATCTACATACATCGTCATAAAAATCACTACGTAGAATAAAAACGTCATTAACCACGAAAAAAATTATCAAAATCTAAATGAACATATTGGGAAATATGACCTGAATATGATATTGGTTGCAGAAAATCAAGTTAACTGAGTTTGCTCGTTCATAAAACTCGGATTTTTAAAATCAGACGAAGTCACAAGGGTGAAGGATCTTTCTCCCCCATAAACTCTTTAACATTTCCCCGAAACTGTAAGAAGATATTCCAGATTCAACTCAACAGTGCCCCCGGAGCCATCTTAATACTGCCTACAACTCATTGTGTAAATGAAATACCCACCCCTGCTTTGTCTGTGTCTGACGTGGTGGATAAAAAAACGCCCAAGCTAATAGTAACCAATAATGTTGAACTCCTATTGTCCCTCAGGTTTAAGCTCCCTTGCCCAACAGCAAGCAAAATGTTACTGAACCTCTAGATTTTTAATTATAATATTTGCTGCCGTTATGTCATGAAAAATGCTGTATCTCTTGATCTTTTTAAGATTATGATTTTTGTAGACCCCAGCTAGTACCAAAAACGTAGGATGACAGGTTGCCAAAAGCTAGAAATTTAAACCAGAGGCAGCGACAAGATTTAGGCAAAGCAGAAAATTAGACGCAGCACCGGACCCAGGATGGGCGTGGTCCTGGTCCAGACGAGAAGAGGACCAGTCGCCTCCGGCCAATCAGAGCACGCCCTGCGCTCCGGCCCCTGGCCCCGCCCCTTCCTCCCCGCGCCTTTTCGAATCTCCCCGAACTCTCAACACCCCAGAGCCCGCGTGCGTGGGAAGGGGAGGGGTGGGCGGGGCTAACGGTCCAATCCGGGTAACTCCGCCCCTGCCTG